CTCCCTGCACCCGCGCTCCCAGCTGGGCTCAGCACCCCGCCATCCCCCCTTTTCGGAGGAAAAAAGTTTTGCAAAACGGGCCCGCTTCCCCTCGACCGCGTGGGCACGGGGCCGGGCAGGCGATGGCAGCTGGGCAGGGGAGCGCAGACAGCTCGCGATGCCTCCGGCACCAGAAATAAATGGCGCCTTGCATTCTTGGTGTGCCCCAACATTGTTTATGGCACCTCCTGGGAAAGGCAACAGCGAAGCGCAGCCCTTCTCCCGCGCCCACACCCCGCGGGGGCACACGCACTGCCCCGTACACCCCCCTGAGCCCACCTCCTGCAGCACCCAAAGCTGCCCATGCCACCAGCGAAAACACCCGGAGCCCCAAGAAACGGAGCCAAGACGGACCCTGCTCTCACCACCGAGGTTTGTCCCCACCAGGCTCCCCCAGCTCCCCCCGTCCCCGCAGCAAGGGCGGGGACCCCATGGTGAAACCCCAAGGGAGTGATGGGGTGCAGAGGGCCCCAGCAGCAGGCACACCGTGGAAACCCCAACCCTGGCCCCAGGGGCTTAACCGGACCCTAAACGGGAGGACAGAAACCGGAGTCGTGGCCGTAGCCCCGCGCCTCTCCCCTCCCGAGCTGCCCGCTTTACACGCGCCGCTGAAAACGCAACCGGTCTGCAACATCGCCGAACGCGGCGCTTGGCTTCGCCCCGCGCTGAAGAGCTCCCCGCTTCTCCCTCTCCTCTGGGCCCTGCTCAAACCACCGTCTCCACCAAGGCGACGAGCAAAACACCGGAGAGGCCACGTGTCGTGGTGGCCCCGGACGTGGCATCCTTTGAAGCTGGGATTTCGTCAGCTGCGGGGTGGCTGAACCCATCCGAGAGCTGCACATGGCGGCGAGGAGCTAAGGAGGCGTGTGACGAGGTGCCTGGGCTGGACAACCCGGGCTAATAATGTGAAATAACATGTGGGTGACTGTTGTTGCTGTCCAATTACACATTTTTCAGGCCTGGGAATGGCTACCATTGGGCACGGAAAGCAAACTTTCTGCCAAACCCACGAGCCGAGCAGTAAAAGCCATTTCTACGCACTGCAAGCCATTATGAATTATTAGAATTACTAATATTTTTGCTGCTGGTGATGCGAAGCATTGATGTGCCACTACGCCAGACGCTACTGAGCCATGGTAAATGATCCTCTCCCGGGAGACCGAACCGCCTGTGACCCCTGGGCCCCTTGCGACGGTGACGGTGACAACACCTCCAGCCCAGGACCACCAACCACCAGAAGCTGATGCATCACCTCCTCCTACTCACATCTTGAGCTTGCTTTGAAACCATGTTGGCATAGGAAGCTCTCCGAGTCCCGGTTGCTATTCGAGCCCGGAAAATGCAGCCATTATAATGGAGGCTGAAAACCCTGGGCTTTTCCACTTTGGAAGAAAAGCTCATTAAGCATCGTTTGTTATATTTCATAACAATGTCATTTAGCCAGCTCATTTCTCCGAGTCCCGTTGTGCAATAGCACTGCCCTGGGAGCACACCGAGCAGCCGAGTCACCCAGCCAGGTGCTTAATGCACTGCGTTAGCTGGGGTCGCGCGGGCGTCAGAGCAGCCCACCCCAAGACCGGTCTAGCCCGCCATCCTCTCTACGACAGTCACCAAAAAGGGATGTTTTGGGAACAAAACCAGAGGAGGGCAAACCCCTGGGGATGTGGCTTTGTGTGGAAGTGCCCGCGGAGCAGTTTGTCCTCCCCAAAGCTGCCGCGGCCCCGTCCCTTTTCCGCGTGTCCAGTCAGGGAGCCTATTTTCTCCTCCTGCCAACAGGGAAGAGTCACGTAGTGCCTGAGATTTGAAAGTAGTCCGACGAACTAGGCAGGCGGTGGCAGGTACAAGAAGGTCTTCCAGAGTTTTCTTCATCTTTATCGGTTTCTGGAAGTCCTTGTTCGCAGATCTACAGGGAATCTCTGTGTTCCGCTAGCAGCTGCAGTCATCAAGAAAGCAGAGTATCTTTGATTTTCCTTCTGATTTTCCAGTCTAAACTTGAATCTGAATTCCCAGGCTGAACAGAAGGAAAATTAACTATTTATATTTTATTTGTTAGCCCTTCTGCGTTTTAGATAAAAATTCAGTAAATGTGTGAGAAAACGACTGCAAGAAGCTGCGTAAAGCCGCGTCCCCCAGCCGTGCTGATGCCCTCACGCTGCCGCTGCGGAGGCCAGGCGCATCCCCGCCTTGCTGCCTGCCACCATCCCTCACGCTCACAGGCAGCGCCAAGAAGCTTGAAGTCAGATTGCGGCACCAAAAAGGAATAATCTTAGATGAAAAGAGTCACTTCACAGTGAAGCTACACAATAAACAGAAATGATTTTTTGCGTGTGTGTGTGAGCACTTCTGTAGAGCAGGTCGTAAAAAAAAAGTAGGAAAGGAAAAAATCAGTGGGAGCTGTTAAGGACTCGAGTGCCAGCCTAGGAGCATCGCTCTCGGGGCAGCGCTGACAGATGTCCCAGTCCACGCTCCCTGGGACCGTAACGCAACACCCCGTCTTGTCCCGACTGCTCCCAGCCAGCCGGCCTCCACCACTGCCCTCTCTGCCCAGGAGGCGGGTGTTCTGCTGGTGTCTTGCTCCAAAAGAGATGTCTCCAGGTTGTCGTCTTCCTGCAGGAAATTAGGCTGAACGTCGGGAATGTCAGGGCTCTGAGGACTACGCCAGGGCTGTTCTGTTCGTCCTGGTGCGTGGCCTTGTGGGGGTGACAGCGTTACGAGGAGCAGAAGCAAATCACACAGCCTCAGCAAATAACAGCAATGCCTGAATTATGGATTGCGCTTTTCGTGAGCTACAAGTCCTGCACCAGAGGTCAAGGTCGGCCTCCTTCCCTGTGCACAGAGAGACACCGAGAGCCAGGGAAGCGCCTGCCTGATGGGTGACACCAACGCAGTGGTGATGGGTGACACCAACGCAGTTATGATGGACGACACCAAAGCAGTGACAAAGCCAGGAGATGCCACCCAAACCCCGGGCAGCCCCTGCTGCCCAGGCTGGAGAACGCTGCTCCTGCCTGACGCTGATTTTACCAATGCAGCTCAAAAGTGCTTCCTCTGCTAAAACTATGGTGAGATCACAAAGACATTGGTGGAAAATGCGGAGGAAGGATGAAACGAGCATGCTGAGCTCCCTCCTCTCCACGCAAGCTCTCACCAGCCCCCACTTGGGGCCAAACCCCCCCAGCACCCCTCAAACCTCTCCCTGCTCCCCGCTCCATCCCGTTGCCTCCCCTTCCCTGCTCAAGCACGAGGAGGGCGAGCAGTGCTGTTTACTCTTCCCACCCCAGCGAAATGCGTCGCCACGGGGGGCTGAGGCCTCAGGGTATAAATCCTTTCCCCGGCAGGAAGACCCCTCTGCGATACGCACAGCCCGAGGAGGGCCCGCGCGACGGTACGGTCTAAACCCAACAGCGGCGTTAGTCAGCGACGGCGACTGACGTCATCCGCGCTGTCACACGCGCAGCGAGCGGCGGTGCTCTCACTGGTGGTCATGTTGATAACAAGATCAAAGGCTTGCAAGTATTTCCACAGAAGTGCTGGGAACAGTCTTGATCAAAATAAGAGGAAGGCCCTGTATACAGAAGACATGAGAGCTTTGCAACCCGCATGTGAACCTTTGAAGTTATTCTTCCTTCTATTTTTTTTTCTTTTTTTATAAACTAGTTTAACATCATTAGTTTAAGAGGTATAAACCCAATCAGCTGTATAATCTCTCTATGAAGTGCAAGCAGAGAGTATTCTCCACATGCAGACACACTTTTGCAGTGCGGAAAAAAAGCACTGCCAGAGATACTTGAAAATAAGACAAGAAAACACACAATTATTTTATGGGATTTGAAGTTCATTTCATAAACCGACATACTTTTGTTACCACGTATTGCCAGATAAGTCCGATACATTTTCTCTCCCTATAATCCTTTGAACATTTCCATTCCCCCCTACAGACTGTTTTCCTTGATGTTTTGTGCAGCGCACTCCCTGCTATCTGCACACGCTTGGCCAGCTTTTTTAGACTTAAAAGGGGCACCATATCAGCACTAACCATTCTACGAGAGCTGATAAAACACACGTAAGCACTTTGCTACCTATTAACATTTCTGAACTGCTTCCTCCACCTGCGCGGGAGAGTGATTGAAAAGAGGGTGGGGGCAAAAGAGGCAAATGAAGATTTTTATGACCAACTTCCCACGACTTATTTTTTCCACAACTCCTTGCTGTGCACGAGCGAGACATCGCTTTCTCTGCTAGCTTCTTGTTCAGGTAACGGATAGGAAACCAGGTCTACAAGACCTCTGAAGGGCAACTTCTCACCTGGGTGCGTGCCGCTGGGATGGGAGTAAAGGGTGCAAACACCTCGGCTGGGGCATGCAGCCGTGCTGTGTGCTCTCTAGTGCGAGCAGCTGAGCTCTTCACAGGCAACACGGAGCCCAGATTTCGCCCTTGAAGTCCTACTGAAATTTTTCAGTCAAATATTGATTTTTTTTTTTTATGGAAAATTGAGCACTGCTGTGGCTGCTGGGGACATATCCGTGACGCCATGGCAGAGGCACTGAGTGTGGTCCTCTAGTCAGGACCAGGTGATAACTCCTCAGAGAGTCCTGTTCAGGGCCACGTTCCTCCTTGCTCCATCTCTGCTCACTGCTTCTGCTAGGCATAATATTGATTCTGGGTTTGCTTCATGTAGAGTGTACACGTGCCAAGGAGAATCTGAATCTAAACTGGTTTAAAGCCCAGTTTCCACTAGGGTTCTCCATGCATTAATTCCATGAGTGCTTATGAAGTGGCTTTTAGACACTTTGTGCTTTACATGACAACTGCTTGTAGGTCTCCATCACCCTGGGAGGGCTAAATCCCCCCTGCTCCTTGCAGAGTTTGTGGCCGTGTGCTAAAAGCATCGGTGGATACCGTGTCTCTGGCAGCCTGGATCTTTATTTGCCAAATGGGTTCAGGTTTAAGGACTTCCCTTCAAACTGGAGATGGTTCACATCTACCTACGCATGCACTCATCCTGCCTACTCTGCGCCCTTGCCCAGAGAACGCTTGGCAGCAAGAACCCAGCACGTGAGGTTCAGTAGGAGGATGTGGGACAAACATGGGGAGGTGATGGGAGCATCAGTGCTAGGAAGGCCTGAAGTAGATTCCATCCTAGTTTTTCATGGAAACAGGAACATTTTTTCCATGCACGCTCAGGGAAGTCCTTCTTCTGTGTGCACAGAGCAAGCAGGGTGTGCTGGCTCTCGTTCTGCAAAGGCTGGACGCTCCAGGAAGAGAACATGGCCAGCTTGGTAACGAGTCGGGTCTGATGGTATCTTGGCTCGACTGCGGAGGAAGTGAAATATATGATCTGTTACTAGCCTGAACTGATGGGATTTGGTTCTGCAATCTAATCCTTTTTGTTTTCTGGCTGGCTTCTCTAGCTGTGTAAAAATGGTTACTTAAAAACTCAACTAAGTATGAAGCGTACTCACTGCAAATCTCAGCGAGGAAAGGAAATCCAAATGTTTTGAGTTTAACTGTTAAACATAGTTTCCAGCTAGTGTGCTCAGAATTTGAAATTAAACAAATGAAAGAAACATGTTTCAATGGTTTTATGTAGGCAATAATGTCATTAACAGGAAATAAAGAAATTGGGCTTTGCAGCTGCAGCACTAAGTTTAACCCTTCCTATGCCGCAGGGTGCTTGCTCGGCTGGCAAAACGCGCTTGACCCCCGCCTGCTCCTGGGCATCCCACACCTGCGGCCGGGCGCTGAGCATCCTGATCCACACAGCCTTTAGGGGACGATGATAATGGAAAAAGCAGGAGGAGAGGCAACGGTTACGAGTGAATAGGCTCTCCTGACTAGTGGAAAACTTCTGGATCACAAAGTCAAATAAAACTCGTCACTTCTAGGGGAAAAAAAAACCCCAAACCCTTTATGCACAGTTATTTTTAGGTGCACTGTCAAAGTTGAGTACCCTAAAATTATACCTGTTTTGGTTTGTTTCTGCCTGTCGATTCAATTCTCAGCATCAAGGAGGATTGTGAGGCGTGCGAGGCTCCACCCCTCGCAGTGCTGTCAGGAGCTGGATGATGCCTCCACCCTCCCCTCACAAGCTGGACCAGTCCCAAGGCCGCAAAAGAAACATTATTTTTTTTTAAGGATGCCTGTGTTTCCAGGTGGGAAATACAGACTGGAGGGAGGAGACTTTGCATGGAGAAAGCCTCATCCTCCCGTCACCCACTGGGTCCTCAGATGCGGACCTGGTCCCCAAAGTCGCCGCAGTTTCCTGTACGCAAAGAGCTGCACAACCAAATCCCGTATCTGAGCCCCTTCGACGCTGGAAACAGCCCTGAGGAGAACATCCCCAGTATCTATCAGACAGAAGGGATGCCAACCGGAGAGGAACCAGAGGGCAGATTTCTGTAGTTAAAAGAGGAAACAGTGGATAGCTAATTCTAAAAAAAAGAAAAAAG